TTTTAAGAAATTCTATTACCTGCTTAATTTTTTGTCAACCCTGTATTTAATTTAGCTATACAATTTTAATTTTACAAAACTTTTTACTAGAACACAATACAACATATTTTTAATTTTAAATTATAGCAAAAATATCATTTAATAACTGAATGTCGCTTATTTTAAATTAACTGCCAAACATTAAACATGATAAGTAATTTAAAAAAATCTTTTGACTTAAAAACAGTATTTGGCATTTGAATATTTATCGTCCAATTTATCTTTTGCAGAAACGCAACAAAATTTTAGAAAAAGAATAACGAGTGGAAAGTATTGGGCCTTTCCATCTCAAATCGACCAGGCATAAAGGGGTAGTATTTTTCAACGAAATTTTGTTTACGGTTTCTCTACCGAAATCGATGAGACCCTTATTTTTTCTTTTTGCTTAAATTTGTTTTGTTTACCCGTACGAAATTTTTGAAAAATGGACAGAAACGTCCAATTTTTTACGAGTGACATTTTTTCTTGAAAATGCGATAACTTGGCCAAAAATGTTCGATCGTTACAATTTTTTTTAAATTGTAGGAAAATCTTTACTACATACAAAAACAATATAAAAAATTAAGTGGATTCACTCAATTTTTTTTAAATTGTTTTTTCTAAAAAAGGCAGAACAAAATTGAGATCAAAATTTTGACATTGCCACATTTTTTTTACTTCATATTTTTTTCTTTTGAAGTTTATAATATGAAAAACTTTCACCAAAAGTCCCGAGTTGAATATATTTCTCGTTTCGAAATTATTATTTTTTTAATGAAAATGCCATTTGTTATTTTATCTAGGGTCATGAAACTGGGGTGACCTTTATAAAGTGTAATTTAAAACTTTTTGACATACCTATTAACTAATTTTTGTTACTTCCTTATTCACCGGAAATGGTCTATTTTTTAATGAAACACCCTATGCATTTTTACATATTTCGATTCAAAATAAAATTCTGAATACATACATATGTCATTTGTTAATTTTTGACAGATCAACTTATTTCTTTATCTAGAGTGCATTGAATTGGCTTCTCTGTTTCATGTTGGGCCAAGTAGTCTGGAAGAAATACAATTTTATTCTTTTTTTGCAATGTTGGTTTTTAAGAGCTTTCAAAAATTGAAAAACCATATTTTATTCCAAAACTATTTTTCGGAATTGTTTGTGTTCTACATTTCTTCGAAATCGCGTTTTTATATGTATCTTGTGCCTTCGATTCATTACTTTTAGGTATGTAATACTTTTTATTATTTTAACCAAAATTAACGTACACTTTTTACTTACATCTTTTAAAAGTAACACATCCATAAATATTAGGAATTAACATTTCACTCTAAAATATTTAATAATTAAATTTACTTACTTACTTACTTACTTAAGAGCATTTCCGGTGAAACCAGAAGTGACAAAAGTATGTTAAATTTGTCAAAAAGTCCTAAATTACACTTTAAAGGTCACCCCAGTTTCATGATCCTAGATAAAATACCCAGTTTTGCGATAAACAACGAATTTACTAGAAAATGGCATTTTCATTAAAAATATAATAATTTCGAAACGTAAAACGTAAATAATTTTGCCCTCAATTTTTTTTTTACTTTTTTAGAATAAAATATTTACAAAAAAAATTTTTTTTATGTAGTAAATATTTACCTACAATTTAAAAAAAATTGTAACGATCGAAATATTTTTGGTCAAGTTATCGCATTTTCAAGAAGAAATGTCACTCGTAAAAAGAGAAAAATCGATGTTTATGTCAATTTTTCAAAAATTTTCTATGGGTGAATAAAACAAAATTAAGCTAAAAGAAAAAAATTCGTGTCTCATCGATCGATCGATTTTGATAGAGAAACTAAAAAATTTTGTTGAAAAATACCCCTTGAGATGAAAAGACCCTATGCATTTTCATAGTCATATTTTGGAACACTGTCTCATGTTAAAAATATAAAACTCCACATGTGCAATACAAAAATATAAATAATTCTAATTATTTACAATTAAAATCTATTATTTTTAACAAGTTATAATAATTTTAGTATAATTTATAATAAGTATTTGATAAAGCGATAATGTACTTTATTTGATTATCTTGTACAGAGAAAGCTACACAACTCAAAAAGTATACTTTAATAGATATTCTCTTTGCATCTAATAATTTATTTTAACACAATACACAATTCCAGGGAGATTAAGTAGAAGGTATTGCATTCGTATAATATTAATTTCACGATGAATAATTAAGAAAGTACGTAATATAGTCACAATGTCATTTATTCACATAATAATACGATTTGCACATGGAAACATTGTACCTACTATATTTTAAAAAGAACAATAATTTTGACTTTGAAACTGACACTGTATCGTGAAAAAATATAATTCATAGGTACCTACTATTTTCATTTTGACTCAATTTTTGTCCTTTCTAATTACTAATTTATATTTAAAATTTATTATCAATATCAAGCGCACAGCGGGACAAAAAAATTAATATCTCCGGAATGACATAGGAAAGACAAATTTTTGAGTACATCTAATTAAACGGAAACGTTTGCCGCATATTATGACACAAGATTAATTTTTTTTCAGCGTGAAGAACACATACAAAATTTCAATTGTTTATAATAAATGTATGCAAAATTATTTTATTTAAACAAATTAACCTTAATTAAATGATCATTATATAGTCTTAACATTTCTACAATAGTGTGTAAAATTTAATTCAATTATACATAGTGGTTCCAGAGATTCTATTTTTTCAATTTTACCGTGCTCTAAAGTTTGACAAAATTGTCAACCTTAATAACATTACCAAAAAAACGAATTTTAAAACAATTTTTTTCCTGATAAAGCCTCAGTCAAAAAGAGTTTCGCGACTCATATCTCTTAACCGACCAATTTTTCGGAATTGTTTGTGTTCTACATTTCTTCGAAATCGCGTTTTTATATGTATCTTGTGCCTTCGATTCATTACTTTTAGGTATGTAATACTTTTTATTATTTTAACCAAAATTAACGTACACTTTTTACTTACATCTTTTAAAAGTAACACATCCATAAATATTAGGAATTAAACATTTCACTCTAAAATATTTAATAATTAAATTTACTTACTTACTTACTTACTTAAGAGCATTTCCGGTGAAACCAGAAGTGACAAAAGTATGTTAAATTTGTCAAAAAGTCCTAAATTACACTTTAAAGGTCACCCCAGTTTCATGATCCTAGATAAAATACCCAGTTTTGCGATAAACAACGAATTTACTAGAAAATGGCATTTTCATTAAAAATATAATAATTTCGAAACGTAAAACGTAAATAATTTTGCCCTCAATTTTTTTTTTACTTTTTTAGAATAAAATATTTACAAAAAATTTTTTTTTTATGTAGTAAATATTTACCTACAATTTAAAAAAAATTGTAACGATCGAAATATTTTTGGTCAAGTTATCGCATTTTCAAGAAGAAATGTCACTCGTAAAAAGAGAAAAATCGATGTTTATGTCAATTTTTCAAAAATTTTCTATGTGTGAACAAAACAAAATTAAGCTAAAAGAAAAAAATTCGTGTCTCATCGATCGATCGATTTTGATAGAGAAACTAAAAAATTTTGTTGAAAAATACCCCTTGAGATGAAAAGACCCTATGCATTTTCATAGTCATATTTTGGAACACTGTGTCATGTTAAAAATATAAAACTCCACATGTGCAATACAAAAATATAAATAATTCTAATTATTTACAATTAAAATCTATTATTTTTAACAAGTTATAATAATTTTAGTATAATTTATAATAAGTATTTAATAAAGCGATAATGTACTTTATTTGATTATCTTGTACAGAGAAAGCTACACAACTCAAAAAGTATACTTTAATAGATATTCTCTTTGCATCTAATAATTTATTTTAACACAATACACAATTCCAGGGAGATTAAGTAGAAGGTATTGCATTCGTATAATATTAATTTCACGATGAATAATTAAGAAAGTACGTAATATAGTCACAATGTCATTTATTCACATAATAATACGATTTGCACATGGAAACATTGTACCTACTATATTTTAAAAAGAACAATAATTTTGACTTTGAAACTGACACTGTATCGTGAAAAAATATAATTCATGGGTACCTACTATTTTCATTTTGACTCAATTTTTGTCCTTTCTAATTACTAATTTATATTTAAAATTTATTACGATTTAAATATAATTTATAGAATATTTTATTAAATTTATAGCATGGTTGTGCAACAATATAATATTTTGATTGATAATAAATCATAAAGAAAAAATGTGATTTAATGTGAAACGTTAAATTTTAGATAGATACTTTACATGACTAACGATATAATTAAAATCATAATTATGTAAATACGACTTGCCTATATGGTTCATACAGAAACAATGTAGTTTAAGATAAATTTAAATTTTGTAAATGTTTATGTAAACATATCGAAATTCAATTTGTATAGCCAATATGTTCTTAAGGACCATTACTATTACAAATACTTTCATACCTTCAAATAATATATATACATAAGATATTTTATATTTTTTACAACCATTGACAACGTATGCATTAAAAAGCAATAATTTCATGTAATAATTTATCTTCTTCAGAAACGCCACAAAATCCCAGAGAGAGAACGAGTGTGAGGTAAGGCATTCCCATAGTTGGAGCGACATAATTTAAATCGTAATGTATGTAAACCCGACTTACCAGTGCGGCAATTTGCAACTTGCACGTAATTACGCGTACCGTAGCGTTAAACAATTAGCTTGTTGTTCGGCCGCACTGTATCTCGCGTCTCGTGCCCTGGCTACGCGCAGCTGTGCCTGCTGGAAACTACCGATCGGGACTATCGGCAAACCACCCGACGGCGTCGACGACGGCCAAAGGGATAACTTCGACGTCGACGCTCTCGAGCTGAGGCCCACTTATGCATACATAACGGACGCGTGTAAATAAATGTTCTAATTTCCAGAGCGCTGCAAAACCTGTTTATTTTTTTTATAAATATTTTTTTGCACGATTATTTTATTACACCTGAACAGAACAAAAATAATTAGGAATGTCAAATTGTATGTTTGAAATGCAGTTTAATTATTTTATAATAATATATTTAAGAGTGTTTGAAAGGGTTACCCACCCGGTGCCAATTAAAAGGGTTTAGTTCTACATAAATTACGATTAAGCTACTTAAAGTAATAACATATATTATATACCACTGGGTTTGTTAAGAAATGCGATAAAATAACGAGATAAAATTACCCCTATTGACTGGAAAATTTTCCATCACCTTCTTCCTGTTTTCTCAGGATATACTGGATAAAATGTTTTATTTTTATGATTTGCTCTTTCGACTGAGACCCTCTATTTTATTTTTCATTGGTGTAGAGAGTCAAAGTTTTTAAAATTGCTACATCGATAAAGAACAAAATAATTGCTAAAAAATAAACAATTCAATTCCATCCAGTAGATCCTAAATAAACGGGAATATTTTATCGGAAGTCGTGAAATTATCTATTAAAAGGGGTTATTTTATCTAACCCGTACGAGCACAAAAAATCAACAAATAATTATGCTTTTTAAAAACTGCATTTTTTAACACATTAATTGGTCATATTACTTAAAGTGGACTAATCGTGAATGTATGTAGAATCATACCATTTCGAGAATCGCCTTTCGAACATCGGTTCGAATATTTAGAAATGAATATAATATAAAATGTATATTGTTTAATGCAAATTTTTTGGACATATAATATAAATTTTGAAATTTATAATTAATTATCTGTTTTTTATCCACAATGAAAAATAAATGCTAACATCTATAACAATACCAAACAACACACAGTACTATTAATATTACAAAACCTAAATGTGTCTAAAAATAATAAAAAATTTAATCTCTTTAATTAATTTTTGTGGTTAAATTAATAAATTATTACAATTTTTAAAAATTAAAAAAAAAAATAAAGAAATATTTACGACCTACCTATTATAGTTATTTATGTATTTTAAAAGGGCATAATAAGGCTTTTATTGTTCGAGCTTGAGCGCGTTAGCGAGAGGGCTAGAAAAGCGTCGTAGGACCATAAAAACCAGTTATGCCAGCAATGCATACAAAACTTTATGCACGATTAATATATTATTATTTTTAATATATTATTGTTTTTAAAGACGTATACGTCAAAGAATTTTTGTTATAATTGTCATATTATAATGTCATCGTGCATAATAGTTATTTATGTATTAATATGGTTTCAAATAGTACCCAAAATCAAATTGTACCATCAAACATAAACATGACTAATTGTAATAACTGTATTGTTAATATAAATTTAAAATAAAATAAGCTCATAGTTTTGCGCCTATTGATTTTAATTTTTGACGTTTCATTATAGCCCGCTGGGTCATAATAACGCCCGCGGGCTATAAAAAGACGTTTACGTCAAAGAATTTTTGTTATAATTGTTATATTATAATGTCATCGTGCATAAAATAAATTTATAAACCTACCAGATAATATAAATATGTTTTAAATGTGTTAAATAGGACGAACCAAATGATCAACATTGCTTCAAAGGTAATTATTAATAAAAAGTTATTCTAATAAACATGTAATAAATAAAATAAAAATATAATGAAAGCCTTTATTTTATAATTTAGTATTTTAACGACGTTCATACTCGCAAAACATTAGTCTGAATGTTTTTATTGTTTTAAATAACTTTTTTTGTATTTGATTTGTTCATTTGATGGTATAGAATAAATGTACATTTATATTAGGGGAAGGTGGGGGAATTTTGCGCGGTGGGTAATTTTACGCATAAACAATTCTTCCAGATATGAAGTAAATAATACATTTTTTGGAAACGTTGCTTTGGGTATACGGGGACTAAAGTGTACCGCAATTAAGCTTGTAGCTTTTAGCTAGTGACCATGGTCACTAGCTAACTGTGATACATGTACGTTGATCTAAGAAATCCATGTCGTTTCCGCTACGAGTTAAGTTTAAATTTCTGTCCAATCGCTTAAATGTTTATAACACAACTTTATATGATCTTTCCTCGTAATCTGGTGTATGTTTAAATTGCTCAGGTTAAGTTTTGGAAAGTTTTTTAGTATCACAATATTTTTCTTGCAATGGGGGTAATTTTACGCTGTAAAATTGGGGTAATTTTGCGCTGCAAAATTTGGCCAATATGGGAGCTTTGGTATACAGGAGCCTAGATTGTTCAGCATAAACAGTTCCATTTGGGCACATGCGGAGTGTAGCAAAAAAAAAACCCTAAAACTACATATGTGACAAATGCTGCATGTAGACCCTCTTATTTCTGATTTTGTTTGTTTTGTTTGTTTCATAGAGAAAATAGTTTTGTTTTATTTTTATGTTTTAATATAATATATTATTATAATATTATAGAAATAAACGGTTTATTTAGATACCTACAAATCTTTCTCTATACAGCTCAAATTTTCCCACTTTGATGCGAAAAATTACCCTGATAGGTGGGTAATTTTGCGCAAATGCATTATTTAAAAAAATGTAGTTTTTGCATACCAAACATTTTTTTTTATAAATTGCGCATTATATACACATAGTAAACATAGTAGACTATCGCTGGTATTAATTGCAAAATTTCACATTTAAACTTAACAAAGATACTAGAGATTTTGCTTAGATGCGCAGAACTTCCCCACCTTCCCCTATGTGTAAAGCGTATTTTAATCGGCCATTTTAGTAAGGTCTCGAATTCCTGAAGCCCTTCAGGTACCGGGACCTTGAAACCCTAGGCCCATTGTGATAACCCCCTTTTGGTGGAGCCCTGCCTTACCTTAAAAGCCCCCAGCTTTTAAGAAAAGCACAGACTCGCTCTGGTCGGGCCTACTTTATTTCCTTCAGTTCCATATACCTATTCCCGAGGTGTCTTAGTTTACTATTCTGTTATAAAATATTCGATTCCTAAATTCGATTGCAATAACCAATACATAACATAATATAATTAAATTATTTATTTTATAATTTAGTATTTTTAACGACATTTATACTTGCAAAACATTAGTCTGAATGTTTTTATTGTTTTAAATAACTTTTTTGTTTTTGATTTGTTCATTTGATGGTATAGAATAAATTTTTATTTGTATTATGTGTAAAGCGTATTTTAATTGACATTAGTTATACACAAAGGCTTTGTTATCTATGGTTATACATTTAAATACTAAATGTCAAAAACGTATACGTTATGTGCATGGAAATAAGGTTAAAAGCTCATTCACATCCACTTAATATGCGTAACTTAACTTAACTTAACTTAAGAAACCTACGTCTGTTAAGTTGTCTGTTTAGATTAACTTAATACACGCAAAGAACGCAATATACAAGCAAGCGCAATGTAGACATGAATGTAGACTGGGTTGCCTATCTATCTATAAAAGTAAAACAACAAGATAGCGCTATATCGTTTTACTGGGCATGTGATTGGCTCTATCTATAAAAGTGAAACAACAAGATAGCGCTTTATCGTTTTATTGGGCATGTGATTGGCTCACGTAAGAAACGTATTCCCTTAAGTTGAGCCGGACCTAACTTTTGGATACGTTAAGTTACGTATGATAAGTTTTCTACGAATGTAAACAGCTGCATTGGTTTTAATGTATTTCAACTTACTTGTTTTGTATTTATGTGTTTCAAGTAAGTGTAAATATGGAAGTATTAATGAATGTACTGGCAATACGTAATTTGGAAAACGCAGAACAACAAAATCGACCCAACAACCGGCATAACCCTCGAGATCCTTTTATAGAGTTAAATTACACTATTACTATTACTATTACTATTACTATTAATTACTATTTAAAATATTTGTAATGTTTTCCCAATCTTTAGTTGCGTCTTTTGTGGAATAATTTTGACTCTGTTTGCCACTAATCAATTGCGGCTATTTCTTCACATATTCAACTAGTAACTTCTTTTGGTTTTCAGAAGCATTGGCACTTCTCTTTTTTTTGTTTTCTGACATAGGTAACTACTTATAAATTATAATTTCACCAATGCACTAAATACGCAAGGATTTTACACACAAATCCTTGCTAAATACGTATACGTACATTTAATATTGAGGTTATCCTACCCAAATAATTTATTTCAATGTCAGTCAAAAAAGTCAAGTGTGGTATTTAATAGAAATAAATATTATGAGGAGTTGCTGGAATGGTTAAAGGGAACAAATAGGCACGTGGAATGTGAAAAATTAAGAAAATTAAGAAAATTGAAATTGTTTTTCTTTTCTTTGAAACGTATACGTTTTTTTCAAGAAACGTACGGGAAACGCATAACTGTAATTTTTGGGCATACGTTCATAATGCGTATACGTTAATTTTTGTTCGTTTCGCTGCGAGCGGGTATATAGTAAAAGTAAGTACTCGCAAGTGAATTAAGTGCATTGTTTTGTTGTCTATATGTTGATAAGTGGTTGCTGAAAAATGGATGAAGCCATAAATATCGTTGTGCTAGAAAATTTTGAGAATGCTGAAGCCAATTACCGCCCAAATAGGCAACGTCATCCTCGAAACACCCACCTCAGTAAACGGCAATTTATAAAAATGTTTAGACTTTCCAAAGATCTTTTTCGATATGTGGTGGAACGCTTGAGGCTCTTTTTACGACCTCAGAACCGAACTACATACCTAGATATCCAGCCAAGGCAAGTAGAGTCTGCCGTTTGCCTTTTCTGTTTGATATAGTTACAATGACCAAATGCATGTACTTTACTTGATTTGTAGGTTTTAGCGGCCCTTAATTTCTTTGCAAATGGGTCGTACCAAACAAATGTGGGGGCTAACGCATATATTGATATATCGCAGGCGAGTGTGTGTGTTAGTTTAAGGGAGGTGGTAGCGGCTCTCAACGAACCCGACGTCTATAATGAATGGGTCAATTTTCCTGCTAGTTTGCAGGATTTAAACATAGTGAGGCAGGAGTACGTTTATTAAACAGCGGTGTCTACGTCTTTCGACGCGACCCGTGAAGTTTTGATAGTTTGCATTAACACTGACCTTTGTGCTTATGCGCGGAGGTTTTTCAGGCAATATGGAATTCCAGGCGTTATAGGGTGCATAGATTGCACACATGTGGCTATTGTTTCCCCACCCGGAACATTTATATGTTATCCGGAAGTCATATCATTCCATAAATGTGCAATTGGTACGTATGCATGAGAAAACAAATAAGCTGTTATTCCTGTATATACCATACGTAGATCAACGATGCCCACGTACGCATCTTAAACGTTAACGCAAGGTTTCCTGGAAGCACCAATGATGCGGTATAGGCATTGTTAAGAAATATTCATGGTAGAGGAGAAAGGGATTATTTCCTGTTGTGTCTATTTTAGATTAAGCGTATTTTTATTATTTTTGCATCCACAGGTGATTCAGGGTATCCCCTTCGCCCATGGCTACTAACGCCCTTCACTGACGCAGAGGATGGTACCCCCGAAGCACATTATGATACGATAGCACGAGCATCCGTCGAACGATGCAATGGAGTATTGAAGGGACGGTTTCGGTGTTTGCTAAAGCACCTTTGTCCCGAAACCGCATGTAAAGTAATAATCGCCTGAGTCGTATTGCACAGTACAGTACAATGTACCACTTCTAGACGACGAGGTTCCCGAGGATCTAGGATTAATAGATGTCGACATGGCGGACTTCTAAGCTCATTTTGTGCACGCAAAAGGGACAGCTTTTCATCATAATATTTTGATTTCATTTTCAACTTGTCCTCAAGATTGGACTGATATGCGGCTGCAGCCGAAGCTGAATTGGTGACACTGCTCAGGTTCTGCAAATACCCCTTGCTCCGAGCACCCGCTAGGCGTGCTGTTGTTGTTTCCTGTTGTAACTTCCGTGGAGGGGTTGGATTAGCAGTAGTCGCCATAGACTTCACATCTATTTTTGGTGCCTTTTCCACTTCTGTGTCTTGAGCTGCGTTAGATTCATTCTTATCCTCAGCATCATTAGCACCAACCATTATCACTTGTGGCTGTTCTGCGTGGTGGGGATCAGCCACCTTAACCATAAACATCATTGGTGCAAGTCCATTATCCACTTGTTCAACTATAACAGTTTCACCCTCTATTTCTGGGTCCTGAAAATCAAACTCTACGCGTGATTCTGGCACTGCATGACCCTCAATAGATACCGTTTTTATCACATTAAGGACAATTTTCTCCACATTGTCAAACGTTTTGTCTTTGGGAGGCCCCCCACCTGTACCCCTTTCATAGTTACGTTGTTTCGCTTCTTTGATTTTAGTGCGTGCCCGCAAATCGTGCCAAGTCTACAAAGGAATAATAACCCCTAATAAATGCAAAATAGCGTTATTAAAATTTTCCAATCTTTGGAAGCACCTGGCATGCTGTTGAGGGCTTCGGCCACCTCCTCCCACGCCTGCTGCATTTTCTTACAAGTTACAGTCGCCGTTTGCTTGCCCGCTATTAATTTGGGCTTGGCTCTAGCAAACTCAGCAAGCCACGTTTTTGTTTTGTAGAGGTGTTGCACCCTCGTTTCTGCCTGCTTTTCAAATTTTCTTTGTCCATTTTAACAAGTCAACACTAAAATGTGAATATGTTTTAATTTTAACATAATAAACAAAATATTAACCTTACATTGCAAGAAGACGGCGTGAATTTGAGTAGTCTAAACACACTTTCGTTCAAATGCATCAACAAATGCGATGTTGTCAAATGTACCATACGTTAAAGTTGCGTATACTTTCGACGGACTTACGAGGACCAGTCAAAAATTGAATTTGCGAAACGTATACGTTTTTTAGTGTTCGTATCTAAGCGTATGCGAATACATACGAATGAAACCAAAAATCGACCCCCAGGGGGCATTTTAGGGAGGTCTCGGATTCCTGAAGCCTCTCAGGTACCGGGACCTTGAAACCCTAGGCCTATTGTGATAACCCCCTTTTAAGAAAAGCACCTAGTCGCTCTGGCCGGGTCTCCTTTATTTCCTTTATTTCCATATTCCCGAGGTGTCGATCCTAGTCTACTATTCTGCTATATACATAATATAATGTAATATAATTGAATTATATGAAGTTATGTTATACAAAAATAATATTTTAAATATGTTTTATTTTAATTTTTAATATATTACCTATGTATTATTCTTTTACTTTAGTTTGGCTTTCGTTGTCTAATTCAAAATAAATTTCGTTTTGTAAAAATGGAGAATGCGCTGGGATTAATTGACTTTGTTGAATTGAAATTTAACAAACACAAAAATTGTTATTCAGTCAGTAGCAGATTTAGTGTAATTGAATCACTCCAAAAACTTCTGGATGCACATCGTACTAATGAAATTCAGCTTTGGAGGAACATAAAATTTGGATTAAATATTGATGGCAATAATAAACTTGCACCATTGTACAATTTTGTATTTTATGTTAAATGATGTTTTAGAAATTCTTAAATTATAAAAGTTAATTTAAAAAAAAAAACTGTTAAAAAAATGTTAAATAACACTAGTTTACACAAAAATTGAACCAGATGAGAACAGTTTTTTCTAGAGCAATTTTGGGTCGCTGAAAAAGAAAAAATCACTTATTTTTTTTTTCAAAGGAGCGTTGTCTAGATCCAAGCAAAAAATGTGTTTTTTGGCTCTGCTTTTACTTACTGATAGAAATCTCGTGAGCGGTTGATCAAACTAACATGAATTGTATTTCGTTCGATAGGTATACTCTTCTTCTTTCCGACGATATACTGTTGGTATCAATAAAATTAAAATTTATTGGGTTGCAGGTGATAAAAGAATATAAAAAGTGCTTTTTTCAACTTTTTTTAAAAATCACTCATATTCAGTTGTTTCTTAAGTATACAAACAATTTTTTTTAACATAGTTTTAGAATCGCAGTTAACAGACAATTTTATTAAAAACATATAAAGCCTTAATTTGTATATACAGTATATATTGTAATCGCGCATGTCATTAAAAATGCACTTTCTTCACAGTCATTTGGACTCTTTTCCTCCAAATTTGGGAGCTGAGAGCGATGAACAAGGAGAGATTTCACCAGGACATCGCAATAATCGAACATCGGCATGAGGGCCTTTGGGATCAAGGAATGATGGGTGACTACTGCTGAATGCAAATTCGCAAAGATTTAACTCAGCAAAAACGAAGAAGTTTAAGTAAAAAAACATTTTCCACCAAAAAATATATATATATATATATATATATATATATATATATATATATAGATATGCAATCCTACATTACCAAGCCCGAAACGTTACATTCCACAGTATAAACGAAGCCCACTCGGTTTTTACAAAGCCCGAAATCGGGCTTCCTAAAATTAGCGTGTATAAATTTGTTTTAGAGTTAAGTGATGCCCCCTTGTTTCAATGGCGAAAAAGTGGTGGGCTTCCGAATGCCATTCAAACCTATCAAAATATACACCCTTAGTTCCAATGCTTTGGCGGTAGGGGGCACACGAGTCAAAGGAGATTATATACAGCTTTGTATAAGTTTTACGCATTATACGAAGCCCGTACATCTGGCAACAATGGGGACTATACGCTCGATGACTTTTTGATAGGAAGGCGGGGAAAATAATGCGGGATTCTTAAATTTGTATCTACTGATTTTCAAAATAAATGTTATATTCCCAAAATTATCTTTTGTTCACTACATGGCGTGGATTAAAAGGCAATGTTTTGTTAAATACTTTCGTTATACACTTAATTTTAAAGAATTATTTATTTTTGAAATATTATTTGGAGTGCATTTTTCGTTGGGGCGGTTTTACAAGTTGTCCAGATATTTTACATAATTTTAATTGGGGAAACAAGGGGATTTGTATATATTATTATTATTATTATTCAATGTTACATTTAAATAATTTAAATAAAAATAATTTTTTATTTATTTGAAACATTTCCAATTTTAATAAAAATAATTTTTAATTTATTAAAAAAAATTCCAATAGCGGTATGAAATAAATTAAAAATTATTTTTATTAAATATCATTTTAATGTAACATTGAATTGCAAAAACTGCTTTTTGACAGATAGCTTCTCATGGCAATTTGTCAATTAACATTCACAACTGGTCAATTTATTTATACATGGCAAACAACGACCAAACGACCAATCAACAATAAGAAATTGTGTTCTTTATTTGGATAGTGCTTATCTAAAAGGAACCAAAAACTTGTTCGGAGCTTAACAAACTTATTTGTATATACCTAACTCATTTTTAATGCTGCTCAAAAACTTAATTATAGTCCTCTCAATAATTTAAAAGAAGTTCTAAATAATGATAAACTTTTTGAGCATTATTAAAAATGAGTTATTTTACAAAAAAATTTTGTTAAGTCCAAAAATAGTTTTTGGCGCTTGGTTCCTTTTAGATAAGGATTGTCCATTTATAATTACCATTACAATTTTATTTTATCAACCGTTTTGGTTAAAGTAATATTTTATCTACAATTTTTATTGGATAAAAGGCAGCTTTAACTTTATAATGTAGCTATAAAACAATATTTGGTTGGTAATACATTTTTCTTGTTTATAGGATGCTAAACTAAATAGCAATTTTCCCCACTTCTTTTTTTTATTTTTCAACTTTTAATTTGGTTTAGTTTTCCTAAATTTTCCCAACATTTATTAAAATGGATATAGCCGGTTTTCCACGGATGCTCCTCAACTATGGTCTAGGTCTTTTAAATCAAATTTGCCTATAATTATAAATTTAGACAATATTTTTAAATAATGACTTATAATTCATTCAATAATATAATAGCTTTTATTAAAATAATTATAAATCACACTATTTTTAAATACACTGCCCTACAAAATTATTGCATAATAAATAAAAAAAATTAAGTCTAAAACGCCTTTACTAATCTTTATGAAATTTTGGATAAAAATACTTCAACTTATATCTCAATTTACGTGTTCAAGGGTTTTTCGAGAAAATATGTTTAAAGCCTTTTTATTTAATAATGAAAATAAGTTCGAAAAATCACTTCTAGGGAATTTTTTTAAATAAATAAAAAATATGCTGTTAAAGAGCGTATTTTTTTAGTATACCCTGAAAATTTTCTACAAATCAAGCGAACAGTAACAAAGATACAGCGCTTCAAAGTCGTGAAAAATGACCACTTTTCAGCAAAATAATCAAAAAGGCGTTTTTACCGACTTTGAAGCGCTGTATCTTCGTTAATGTTCGTTTGATTTGTACAAAATTTTCAGGGTGTACTAAAAAAATACGCTCTTTAACAGCATATTTTTTATTTATTTAAAAAAATTTTCTAAAAGTTATATTTCGAACTTTTTTCATTATTAAATAAAAAGGCTGTAAACATATTTTCTCGAAAAACCCTCTAACACGTAAATTAAGATATAAGTTGAAGTATTTTTATCCAAAATTTCATAAAGATTGGTAAAGGCGTTTTAGAGTTAATCTTTTTATATTTATTATGCGATAATTTTGTCGGGCAGTGTATTAAAGTATACGTCATTATTTAGATTTTTTAGAATTTTTGGTGTATTTAAATCTAATAATTTAAAAAAACTAGATGTCTTTATAATTCATGAAAAAAATATTCAGTCAGTTTCACTTCTTTTGATTCCCATTTAAGTTTTACACAAAATTACCTAACCTCAACAATAATTCTTATAATAATTATAATCATTGATATATTTGTATATTTTTTATTAACATATGGAAATATATTTTTTAAAGGCTTAACTTTTAAACAAAAAAGAATCGCATCACACATGTCATTTAAGAAAAATTTTTTATAATTAACCCAGCTATCATCTGACAAAGTTTGCCATAGAGCTTGTAGAGCACCCTGTATAAGATATTTAAACCTTTTAAAAATTATGATGTATAAACAAAATAAATGAAATGTTTATACCTATAGGTACCTAAATTACTTTTAAATTATTATAATATAAATAATTATAATTTAACGATAATTATTATTATAATAATTATAATTCAACAATATTATTAAATATTTAAGTATACCTACGTCATTATTTAAGAATATTGTTAAGTTTAAGTATCGTCTAGGTATTTTAAATCAAATTTGCCTATAATTATAAATTTATACAATATTTTTAAATAATGACTTATAATTAATTTAATAATAATTATTATTATAATAATTTTTATTATAATAATTATAACTCAACAATATTATTAAATATTTAAGTATACCCAGTGGGTATTACCCACGTCATTATTTAAAAATATAGGTTAAGTTTAGGTATAGTCTAGGTATTTTAAATCAAATTTGCCTATAATTATAAATTTAGACATTGGCAACACCGCAGGGCTTCTGATACACAGCGGAATGTGTCTCTTGTTGTTTATGCACCAACGAACTGTTAACCGCCCCGTCCCGCATTACCGGGCTTCGACTAGCCAGTGTAATGCACCGGGCTTCGCATTGATAGCCGTGCATGTATATATATATATATATATATATATATACATTTTCCACCAAAAAAAAAAAAATATATATATATATATATACGTATAATTGGTATGTTGTTTAGCCCGAGATACTATTGGGGCGCTCTGCCACCCACCATTTCTAACGTGGTTAGACGAGTATATATCTTTGCTAAGTGTTTTTTAACATAATTTAATTTAGGAAATACCAAGAGGGGTAAATATATAAGTTAATTTAATGATC